CAATGGGGAATTAATTAGCAGGGTGCCCTTGGCAAGCTTTTGGGGCCAATGGAAATGGATGATGGGAAGTGACATAAGTCAATAGGAATCAGAGACAGAGTAGGAGAGGTAAGACAGTTTCATACTTCCCAAGGTCTCAACAAACCTTTCTGATGCCGTGGATGACAAACATGAGCCGTTCACATTCAGAACCAGCCACCTCCAACTGAGGTGTGCTCAGTTCTGACACTGGCCTCCCAAATTCCCATTTCTTTTTCCCCGAAGTTCTCTGTTACTTCCTCAACCATTAGAGCACAGCTGCACACTCCTATCAACCCCAGTTACTCTGGCCTCTTACTTCACCCTCCTAGTCCTAACCTGAGCTTCCTGTATCACTGAGCCACATCCTCGAGCAAGACACCATTGTGTGTAGTGGTAGACATGAGGGACCCAGAAGTGGCCACCATATGTAAACGACATCAAAGATGTAAAACCAAGTCAAGTGTCAGCACGCTCTATTGACTAAGCAAACAGGAGAACCTGGTAGTAACTGACAAAAGATCAGTAGACTTCCAAAATTGAAGAGGCCCCGTGATGTGTGTGTGTGTGTGTGTGTGTGTGTGTGTGTGAGAGTAGNGATCAGTAGACTTCCAAAATTGAAGAGGCCCCGTGATGTGTGTGTGTGTGTGTGTGTGTGTGTGTGTGTGTGTGTAGGAATGAGGGGGAATATTCTTCCACAGCTGACTCAGCTTCCCGGATTTCGCCTGCTCATCCATGGAGCACATAGATTGGACTCTGGGCACCATCTCTTCCAGGGCACCGGCGTGTAGAATGCCGTCCATCACCTGGCTGTCCTTGGTCTTCCGGTCGGCGGTCATCAGTACATGTGCAGCCGCATCCCCGGTTGCTTTCACCTGGCTCAGTCCCTTCCTCTTTCCCTCCCCGCCACTCACCCCAAACAGCCTGACACAGGATTACAGCCCCAGCTCCGGGAGCTCTCATCTCATGAGGAAACAAAAGCGGGGAGCAGGACTCTTTTGCTTAGAGTCTCAGAATAGGACAGAACTGGAAGGAATCTCAGTAATGCCCTGCCAAGGCCCAGGAGGGTGGTGCCACTGACCCAAATTCACACTGTGGACCTAAGACAAGAATTCAGGTCTTTGCTACTCCCTTAAGCCTTGGCTGCTTCTTCCAAGCTGTGGTTGCTTCAATAACAAGAAATTCCCATGAGCCCCCTCCTTGCCAGCCTCTAAGTCTTCTAGTTGACTCAGTACCTCTGTCCATGACTCCAGGGGCCAAAGACTTGAAAACCCTCTGTCACCATCCCCTTTTGCCTCCCCAGGCTGCATCTTTGCTCTTGCTCTCTGGGATCCCCCGCTTCCTATTGTCATGATTGCTTACCTTTTTGACCAAAACTGCTGTAAGGCCTCGGATAAATCCTCTGTAGAGTAAAACCCCAGATAGAGTAAGAAATTATTGAACTAACTAAATGTTGCCATATAGACTTGAAGCGCCCTTTCCACCAGAGCAGCCTACCCAGCCCCCACCCCTCATCCCTCTTCACATCTTTGTTTCCAGGGCCCCCGGCTGCTCTCTTGTTTCAACGAAATGACTGAAATGCCCTACAAGGGACAGCTCAAGATTTGAAATGACTACTATATTGATTCAGGCAGGTTCTTACCTTAGGAATTTTGAACGGATCTGGGCAAAAATGTGTGAACGTTCCAACACACCGACTTTAATCTCATTAGTGCAAATTCAACTGACAGGTACCGAAACAACCCTGGCGGTGGATGGGGGAGTGGGGGCCTGAGACATGCAGATACTTACAAGGGGCAATTTCCTTTGCACCTGGAGATGAGAAATCACAGTTGTCAGCCATCTCTTTGAAAGGCAGAAAGACGGGCGATCAAGTCCGAGCTGCATGCAGAGCTTGGACACCTTTTATTCCCTCCTAGGGAGGGGGCAAGAGCACAGAGCAGAGGAGGACCAGGAGGCGGCTCGAATAGCTCACACCTCTCATGAGGGAGAGCAGGGATTAAAGCCATCAAAACAGATCAAACTGTCTCTGCCCTTGGCTCCCCTACAGCCTCCACCGTGAGCATCGTTCCATCTGCCATCCTCATCAGTGGAAATTGCCGAGAAGTTCTAAACCTTTCTCTGTCCTCCTAAGAGATTAATCAACATTGTACCTACTCCTTATTTCCATATATCTCAATGACTCTCTAGCAGCAGCTTCAAGAATTTGGACCTGTAAACTTCCCTTCTGGCACAGAATTGCCAGATCTTTATTTTGTTGAGTCAAGATAAATAAAACATTTTGCTAAAACAAAATGAAATGAAAAACAAATACCTCTCATCACCATGATTTCTTTCTTTTTTCTTTTTTTAAGGGCACTTTTGAATAGAGGCAGATGTAGAGAATGGACTTGTGGAAACAACAGGGGAAGAGGGTGGGACAAGCTGGGAAGTAGCATAGACATGTGTACACTACAATGTATAAAACAGCTAGTGGGAAGCTGCCTTATAGTACAGGGAGCTCAGCTCAGTGCTCTGTGACGACCTAGAGGAAGGTGGGAGGGCAGCTCAAGAGGGACGGGATGTGGGTATACTTACAGCTGATTCACACTGTTATACAGCAGAAGCTAACACCACATTGTAGAGCAATTACCCTCCAATTAAAAATTAAAAAGGGGGCACTTTCATGCCAACTAGATAAATAAAGCTTTTTATGTAGCTGTTAATTTTCTCATTTGGACACAGTCCAATGACAGGGGATAAAGACTCCACTGGGGGTCTCTGGATATGCCTTTGGATAACTGAAAACTACATTTCCAACTTCAGTCCCTACTGCTGAAGGCGACCTGCTTCCCTCCCCTAAAGTATACCCTTTAATAGGTCTCAAGAAACCAGAGTGCGTGTGTCTTCCCACTCTCTGTGCCCTCAGAAATGCCCTCCCTGTCCTCGCTGGTGGCTCCTGCTCATCTTTGGGCTCCCCTCCTTCTGCAGGCAGAGGGCCACCCTCCCTGCACCTCTGCAATGCAATTATTCATCCTGCAGCCTGTCGTTTACACCCAGACATCTGCCTCTTCTTCTGCAGCTCCCTGAGGACAGAGGTAATCCCTCCGCCATCCTTAGAGTCATAAGCATCCTGAACAAAGTCCCCCCACCTCCCGCCAGCAGGCATGCTCAGCCACTGGTTGAGGAAGGAATGGCCAGCACAAGGGCCACTAGTTCACCAAACAGGCAGCCAGAAGAGCGCAGGTATTACTGAGGCTACACCAAAGCAGCCAACAAGGGCCGTGCCCTTGGGGAGTTTACTTTTAGGGAATTGAGCAAATCAAACAGACTTAAATGAGACAATATAAACCATTCAAAATCCGTGTGACTCAGACTGTGGGCAGAAGAGCTGAGGGAGTTTTAAGTGAAGGAGAAGTCATCGCAGGGTGGGGTTTGCCAGAGACAGTTTCATGGAAGAGTTGAGTTTTAATCCGGGCCTTGAAAGAAGTGCAGAAGTCAAGTTGGCAGAGGACGGCAAGGAGCATCAAGGAAGGTAAAAGAGTACGACTGGAGGCTGGGAGGAATCAGGCGGAGGCTGGAGGGAATCAGGCGGTGGCTGAAACCAGCTGGGTGCCAGGCTTCGGGCACATGATAAAGAAATAAGGGACCCCACAGGGGAGTCCAGGTCAGGTGGGAAACCTTGGACCAGCCAATAGGGGAGCCTGAATACCAAGCAGGGTAATCAGATCTTAGAGCTGGAAACAAAATTTCAATTTTATTGGATAGATTAGTCATTCTCTTATCCAACCTACCCACTTCACAGATGAGAAAACCAAGGCACAGAGATGGTGTGCATGTCTTCCCCAAGATGCAGGAACAGTGGCATCAGTAGTAAAAGTCAACGCAGTGGCAGACGTTTAGAGAACTCAGACCTGGGAGCCTTGCTCCAAGCAGCTTAGCTGCACACCTCACTTAATCCACATCATACCTCCAAAGTAGGTAGTCTACTGATGCCCATTTTGCAGACCAGGAAGTCGGAAAGTTCAGCAGCTTGCTCAAGTTCACAAGGGAAAAAGGACAACTGACGCAGTCAGCACTTTGGAACTGATCTCACCAGGTACTAGTGCTAATGGAACGAACACAGGATTTCCAACCAAAGGACACGTATCCAAATTCTGGCTCCACCTCAGTCATCATATGACCTCCGGTGAGTTACCTAACCTTGCTGATCCTCTGTATCCTCACCAGTACAAAGAGGATAATAGTTCCTATCTTACAGGACTTCTGTGGGGATTAAATAAGATTATATGTGTCACATTCCTGGCACCTAGTACATGCTCAGTCAACACTGGTCCCCTCCCCATCTCCTTCCTTGCAGGAGCCTTGATCCCACCTTCTACGGTCCTGCGGCTGCAACTCCTCCCCTCGGCCATGTCTCCTCCCAGGCTCTGCTATCCAGCCCTGGAAGTAACTCCAGGGTAGGTAGAGTGGAGGGGGAGTGTGAGGGGAATTGGGCTTTCTGGGTGGCAGGACAAAGCTGCTCCCCGCCTTAGGCTTCCCAGTGGTTCAGTGGTAAAGAATCCACCTGCCAATGCAGGAGTCCTGGGTTTGATCCCTGGGTCAGGAAGGTCTCCTCGAGGAGGAAATGGCAATCCACTCCAGTATTCTGGCCTGGAGAATTCCATGGACAGAGGAGACTGGTGGGCTACAGTCCATGGGGTCACAAATTGTCAGACACAAGTGACTGATTGAACATGCATGCTTAGGGGGAAATGCAGAAAGATCCACAAATGGACCAACAGAAAGACACAAGCTGAACCTCACTAATGCTCCATGGACTCACCCCTCCGTGGCCCAAGCCCTTGACTTCCTGGGTTTCTGGGTTTCTTGAGGTTCTTATCCTTTGCACACACCGCGCCTCCCCACCCCCTCAACATACATTGCCTTCATTCAAACTGTCTTATACACCAAGTTGTGCTGTTTAATTATTCAATAGGAGGCCTCCAAAAATATGTCTAGGGAGACTGGTTGGGAGGGGCAAGCAATTATATGAAGAACTTTGCTCAAGCAAGGCTGCTTGAGATGGAGAGAGAAGATACATATATTCTTTCCTGGCTAGGAGATGGGATAGGATGAACAATTCCTCCTTGTACATTTTAAGTGTTTAACAGCATCTTGGACTCTCAGTTGCAAAGTACCATCTTCCACCCCCTCAAATGCCAGAAAGTTTGAAATTCATTCGCTGGGTTACCAAGTCCCTCTGAAGGAAAGGTTACTTAAGTGAACCAAAAGGTAATAAATCTGGATGTTATAGACCCTGTTTCCATCGGGTTTAAATGATGATGAAGGCGGACTCAGAGAAGATATCACAGGGATGGGACCGAGCTTTCTGAAAGCACCCACTATGAGACACCAGGCTAGACTTTGGTCTTGCTTTTTCTTACTTTTTCCCACAACCCAGGAAGTCGATGACACTGAAGCACCCAGCCAGTCAGTCCTAGGCTGTGGTCGGTCTCACTTCCCAGCTATGGACCCAAGACACACTAACCTCCCCCAGCCTTGATGTCCACGTTGAAAAGGAGGGATGACAGCACCCATCTTCTGAAGGAGCTCCAGGGATAAAGACTGGAGGGAAGGCACCCTACTGGCCTGGGGCTGGTGCTTGGGACTGGCTGGGGCTCAGCAGAGAGGCCAGGGAAGTCTGGGGAGGGCTCACCTGGGCCCGGCTCTGAAGCTATCGATTGTGTCTTGATGCATCAAGTCGAGTTTCACTCTGCTGAAAACAAATGTGAGCTGTTCAGCTGAGCCTGGAGTGCTTGGGAGAGTGTGAGAGAGCCCTGGGGCCGAGGTTAGGCTGGCCTGTGGCTGCCCGGTCCAGGTCACGGGCCTCATTCTGCACATCTGTAAGTGACACGCTGGACCCAGCGATTGCTACAGTTCCTTCCCCCTCAGCAAAGAACCCTGTGTTCCAAAACGAATTCATTTATAGAATCTTAACAGTCCCGTTCCGGCTTTTCACATATGACAGGCAGCTTAGGAGGTACAAGGAAGATCTCTCTCAATTTCAAAACAAAACAAAGCAAGCTGCAGGCGCTGCCTCGGCCAGGGGTGTTTTCCACTTCTTACCCTGTTCACCTGCATGGGGAACAAAAACAAGAAACGTGTTTTTTTTTTCCTCTTAAATAACACACACATTGTCTTTCTACCTGGCTTTCCCTTGGGCTGGGTGCCAGCAAGGTGGATAAGATCTTTCAGGAACTTTTATAATGTCACATACTTATGCAAATTGGCAAAGTGTTTATAGCAACAGGCACCACAACAGCGCCCTGAGGTTTCAATTAGTGAGAACAGCCGGGCAATCTAAGCAGCTCCAGAGCATGGAGGGTGAGGTTGGATCTAGAACACTCGGGACTCTAGCTTGGCTGCTACCCTGCCACACCACTCCATCTCCTGAGCCTGAGTTCCTGTCTGTGTATGGAGATGATGTTGTCATCCCATTTGGTGTGCCCGACAGACCCCGGGCATGCTGGCCACATACACTGGGTTGGTTGTCCACCAATGCGACTCTGACTTCCATCACAAGGATTCAGAGACCAGTAAGCACTCCAGTCCAAAGGCCCACTGGCCACACACCCACATGCACAGTGGCAGGCAGGATGCTGTCCTTCCAGCTAGGGACAGGCAGGACACTGCCCTTTCCTGCTGGACAGACCTGGAGGGAGGCCTGGGCCATGCCCCACTCTATCACTTAGCTTGTTCTGTGACTCTGAGCAAGATATTAGCCTCCCTTGAGTCTTACTTTCCTCATTTGTAAAAGAGACAGTAGACCCGTGGTTTGGTTATGCCTACGTGGCGTGCACCCGTCTTGCTGGGCTGCCTGGGAGTTAAATGTTGATAAGGTGGTACTAGTGGTAAAGAACCTGCCTGCCAATGCAGGAGACATAAGAGATGTGGGTTCAATCTCTGGATCGGGAAGATCCTCTGGAGAAGAGCTTGGCCACCCACTCCAGTATTCTTGCCTGAAGAATCCTATGGACAGAGGAGCCTGTCAGGCTATAGTCCATAGGGTTTCAAAGGGTTGGGCACGACTGAAGCAACTTAGTACTCACGCACTCAAAGAACCACCACTGTGCTTGACAAGTCAAAAGCTTCAGTGTATTCCGTCACCATACCAGCATCATCTAGGTTGTATGGAGTCCCAAGTTGTATTTGGGGAGAAGGATTAATAGGCAATATGTAGAAAATGGGTTCTGGGATCAGATTCAGGAGGGAGGTGCCAAGCAATGAAGAAGCAGATGTGGATGAGGTCTCCGGAACTTTCAGAGGGGGTTACAGAGCTCTGTTTCCAAATTGATTTGTCTTCAGAAGGCCCTCTCATTGAGTGCCAGGTGGGGACCAGCAATCCATGAATCACCCCTGGGAAATCCTAATCAAGGCCTGAATGGGAGAAGAGGAATTCCAAAAAGGAGCATCTGCAGACTTCCCTGGTGGTCCAGTGGCTAAGACTTCACACGCTTCCAATGCAGGGGACCTGGGTTCTATCCCTGGTCAGGGAACTAGACCATGCCTGCTGCAATTAAAGATCCCACATGCCGCAACTAGGACCTGGCACAGACAAATAAATATTTATTTATTTCAATATTTAAAAAGGAGAGAGAGGTGAAGAGCAGGGCGTCTGAAGAAGAAGCAAAGATAAAGGATTCGGAGAGAAAAGACAAGGACACCCGTGTACACTGGAGCCATCTGGACCCCCCGTGAGACATGGACACCCAGGGAGTTGCTGTTCACAGTAGCTCATTTTGAGTCTCCACACAAACCTTTTGGGAAGCTGGGCTGGACTGTCCCCACTTCACAGATGCCCACAGTCAGGCACTGACAGGTTCAGCTGCAAGCCCAGGACCATGGGACTAGCAGGCAGTGTATCTGGGATGCAAGCCCAGTGTCTTAAAGACAAGTTCTAGAGTTTCCTGTGTGAGTGAGAGGAAGACTGATGTGATTCTAGCAGGCCAATCATTCAAACTCCACTTAGCCTGAGGTGGTTCGACTGTGAAGATCACTTTGGGCTTCATTTTGGCTTGAGATGTCACCTGGTTGTTCTCACTTTGTAGCCTCTTTCCAATGTTTACATTTGGAATGTTGTAAAACTTTGCTCTGTTGAGAGGCCTAATTGGAACCTTACCAAAAACACTGCAAATGAGTCTTAGATTTAGTTGAATCAAGTCCCCCCCTTCTTGCCTCTCTCTCTCTCTAACCCCAGCCCTACAGTGGACTTGGGTACTGTCTCCTGGACTCAGGTTACCCTCCTAGGGCCCTGTGACCTCACAGCAGAAATTGCTGAAGTCAGCCTGTTCCCTTCACAGTCCTTGAGAAGGGAAAAATCCCAGGGGCCTGTAAATACTGCAAGAAACAGCACCCCACCCAGCACTCTGTTTAGCTTGGATGAAAAATGTATGCGGTGACAATGCAAAGTGCCCTGGGCAGCGACAGGACCCAGCGATGTTCCTGTATCTCATCACTGGTTGATTAATTACCAGGCTACATACATGGGCTGAGGAATCAGGAGTGGTGCCGTGTGTGCTGTGGGATCATTCTCTCTCCTGCTGTGTGTGCAGAGCCAAGAAACCATGCCTGCCAAGCGTGAGAGGTGCCAGCGATAAACACTCCAGCCAGGTGGTGGGGACCAATGAGGGGCCGAGTGGGAGGCTGCCTGTCACACCCGACCTTCTCAAAGCCGGCTCTCAGCACCTGGGGTGGCATGTGGAGGAAGGCCTTCCTCTCTTCTCTCTTTTGATGGTTGGCTTTTGGGTTTTGTTTTTGTTTTCCCTGGGAAACCAAAAGGCATGGCCTTCAGCCCCAGACCCCAAGAGTGGGGTCCCTTCCCCTCCTAACTCAGTCCCTCAAAGACCACCTATGAACACTTCGCTGTGTACACAGCATTGCGGGTGAGACCCTGGAAGAAGTGAGGTCTGAGAGCTGCTCACCAGGAGCTCACAGGCCAGCTGAGTGATGAGATCCTCCAACCAAGCAGAGTGGGGAAAGATAAGACAGGGTAACATCCCAGGGAGCTATAGTGGACATCTGTCATTTGTGTCAGCTCTGTGGGGGCATCACCCTCCCACACAGCAGATGGTCCCGGAGGGTCTGGCCACCGCCATCTCCTATGTCCTCACCCCTAGCAGAGGAGTAAATGAGGAAGCTAAGCTTTTCTGCAGAGGATCTGCAGAGTGGGGACACAGAGCAAATAAACTGAGGCTCATAAGGGTTTAACTTCCCCCAGGTTACTGCGTGGGAGGACTGAGCCTTGAAACCAGGTTTGTCTCCCTCTAAGCCTGTGCTCTTCTCCATGGTGTAACTTTAACCTCCAGAAAATGAAAGAAATGAGAACTAAAGAAGCAGAATCCATCTTGTCTATCCACTTATCTGCTGATGGACACTTAAGTTTCTCCCATATCTTAGCAACTGTAAATAATACTACTATGAACACCAGGGTGCATGTTATCTTTTTGAAATAGGGTTTTTTATTCCTCAGATATGTACCCAGGTGTGAAACTGCTGGGTCATATGGTAGTTCTGGACTTCTCAGGTGGCACTAGTGATAAAGAAATCACCTGCCAATGCAGGAGATGTAGGAGACTTGATTTGATCTGTAAGTCAGGAAGATCTCCTGGAGGAGGGCATGGCAACCCACCCCAGTATTCTTGCCTGGAGAATCCTATGGGCAGAGGAGCCTGGCTGGCTACAATATAGGATCCACAAAGAGTTGGACACGACTGAAGCAACTTAGCATGCACACATGCATGGTAGTTCTATTTTTAGTTTTTTGAGAAACCTCCATACTGTTCTCCATAGTGGCTGCATCAGTTTTCATTCCCACCAGCAGTGTATGAGGATTTCCTTTTCTCCACACCCTTCAGTTCAGTTCAGTCACTCAGTTGTGTCCGACTCTTTGCAACCCCATGAATCGCAGCACGCCAGGCTTCCCTGTCCATCACCAACTCCCAGAGTTTACTCAAACTCAAGCCCATCGAGTCGTTGATGCCACCCAGCCATCTCATCCTCTGTCGTCCCCTTCTCCTCCTGCCCCCAATCCCTCCCAGCATCAGGGTCTTTGCCAATGAGTCAACTCTTTGCATGAGGTGGCCAGAGTACTGGAGTTTCAGCTTCAGCATCAGTCCTTCCAATGAACACCCAGGACTGATGTTAGGATGGACAGGTTGGATCTCCTTGCAGACCAAGGGACTCTCAAGAGTCTTCTCCAACACCACAGTTCAAAAGCATCAATTTTTCAGCACTCAGCTTTCTTCACAGTCCAACTCTCATATTCATACATGACCACTGGAAAAACCATCCACATCCTTATCAACATTTATTATTTGTGATGTTTTTGATGACAGCCATTCTGAGAGGTGTGTGGTGATATCTCATTGTGGCTTTGATTTGCTTTTCCCTGATGATTAGTGATGCTGAACATCGTCTCATGTGCCTGCTGGCTATCTGCATTTTCTCTTTGGAAAAATGTCTATTTGGTTCTTCTACCCATTTTTAATCAAGTGGTCTTCTTGACATTGAGTTGTTTATACATGTTGTATTATTAATCCCTTATCAATCAAGTCAATTTGAAAATATTTTCTCACATTCAATAGGTTGTCATTTCATTTTATCAATTGTTTCCTTGGCTACCAAAAGCTTTTAAGTTTAATTAGGTCCTACTTGTTTGTTTTTGCTTTTATTTCCTTGGTATTTTCATAAGTATTGTATTGAATACACACACACACACACACACACACACACACACACAAACACACACAGGAATACTACTCAGCCATAAAAACAATGACATTTTCACATTTGCAGAAACATGGATGGATTTGAGGGCATTACGCTAAGTGCAATAAGTCAGCCAAAGAAAGACAAATACTCTGTTATCTCACTAATATGCAGAATCTAAACAACACAAGAAGCTAGTGAATATAAAAAAAAGAAGCAGACTCACAGATTTGAGGACAACTAGTGGTTACAATGGGAAGAGGGAAGGAGAGGTAACCTGGGGTAAGGAATTAAGAGGTACAAACTATATTGTACAATATGGGGAATATAGTCAAGGTTTATAATAACAATAAATGGAGTAAAAATAT